ATTTTAATGCAAAACGAAACGAAAAATTTTACTCGTCATATTTTCTTATACATATATAAACATCATACATCAATCCATGTGACACAATATATTAAGGGACATTTCCACTGATGTTTTGGTAATACTGTATATTGTCCGCGTGTTTTGATATACATGCATTATGATAACATGAGTAAATTTATTTCTGAAAATTTAATAGAGTTCTGGAATTTTCTTATTAATGCTAATCATATCATTATGTATCGTACGTACGTACACGTGAATAAACTATATAGGTTAATAATGATATTTACGATTACATGTATAGTGAATCATTAGAAACCAAGCAACCCTTTTAATCATTATATAAAACTATATAAAAAAAGAATAGTCCCTATCATGATTTGGATCACTTGCAGTTAATAAAATGTATTATTAATCAATTGATTATTAAAGTGGAATTACGTTGACTGATAAATTTTCGAATCATTTTGAAACTACAAGAAATCATCTTGTGAAATATTATTGTTGGATAATAACCACGTATACCTCAGGAACAAATCATGAACTTTTTATTACCTCTCTGTTTTTCATTAAAACATTTTAAGTTATAATATCGATAGTTAATTATATATCATTATATATATATATACAACCTGCTTATAATCAGAAGCAGACAAACTAATTATGATATCATACAATAGCGATAGTTCTTATAAATCGTTTTTGATATCCAATCTAATGATACATCATAAACTGATTAACCGGTTAGAATCACTACTTACAAACCTTCAAAACTACAAAATTATTAGGTAAAAGAGTTAAATACAAACATGACTCTTACTCACGAATGTATTTTTATATTGTTATTTATCAAAAATATATTATAAAGCAAACATTTTCAGTTCTAAATTTCCAATTAATACATGCCAAAAAAAAAAGACGATAATAATATAATCAAAAAAACAATATTGAATTGGCTCAGAACTAGAAAATAATGTCCGTAGGCGAAATTAAGATTGCTTCCGCAATGATAAGAACGTAAAGCAAATCATGCTATAACAAATCCATCATTTATCTAGAGTGTATATAAATCCCATTTTTTCAAAAAATCGCCATATATTATTCTATAACTATCGCTTTAATCAATTCTGTTAAACGAACGACCTCCTTTATGCACTTCGTTCAATTTGGGATTATTTTTTGCCAAGATGTCCTTACCCATCTTTGCAAAATCGAAATCGCAATCATGCTTGTCTGGAATTTTGTGATTGTCACAGTAAACGTATTCTAGAGAAACAAAGTTCAAATTATGAATTTAGAATCTAAACAAATATATATATATATATATTATGAGCATACATACCGCAACGGCATTTATTGATAGTTTGCTTAGCCAAAGGAATTTTAGCTCTACACTTGAAACAACGTGATTGGTTTGTTTGGATAGGTCGCGCTTGTATATTCTCTTGAGTTGCAGCTGGAGTGGGGGCACTCGCTCCACTTTCGAGGGAATTCGTCTGAAGAATTTCCACGGAAGTGGAATTTTGTGAAATAGAACCCTGGTGTTCGTTTGTAGCTGTAGTTGAGGTTGGTTGATGTGTTGATGCTGCAGGAAGAATTGCAGGTTCTATAGATTTTTCAACTTTAAATAATAATTTTGTAAGGTGCATATTAACTAGAGATTTGAATAACAAAGTAAAACTTTCTGAAGTATAACCTACCACTTTGGCTGTTCTTTGCATTTGCATTACATTCTTTGAAGCACTTAGAGCACATGTGGTTGTAGATCGGATGTCTAGGTTTTGATAAACGAATGTAATAGACGTATAGACGTTAATTTAAAAACGGAGTCACTAATTCAGTATACACAACGGTAAACTCATCTCTTGGTCTTAATTTATAATTTATTTTCCGTAGACAGCCTACCCGTAGAACCTACAACCAAAATTAACGCATAGCTCTGGAATCTTAGAAGCGTTGTCCTCCATTTTGGTTAGATTAAACAAGTAAGGTGATTGGTATTTAACAGGTAGATGGGGCGACGGGCTTGAGAATATGGAATTATTTGTAAGCTATTAAGAAAAAAAAGGACAGTTTAGAGAACGCAAACTCTACAATAAGGACAGCCAAAATAGTGTTGTTAAGCTGCTGGCTGTTTTGACTTTTGCTATGTATGGAGCTCCACCTATACTTTTTATACTCGGTTTGCTCCTTTGTTTGATTTATACTAAACTTCAATCAACTTCTAGTGAATTGTGATCATATGGGTAGTACAACGGTAGTACTATCATCGACAGAATATGGATGATTACGCGTCAGCACACGTGATAGAAGTTAGAGTACGTACGTACAGTACGTACTGTACGTACGAATTTACAATGTGGTGGCAAAACGAATTATAGTAATAGGATTATGCACTACTAGGTCACCTCATTTTGTTTTGTAAGCTTAACAAAATTATTCTTTATATCCAGACCGTTCAAACATGGCTGTTGCTATAGTCTTTATTTCTCGTGGCCTTTTACTAAACAAGGACTAGTACTGTCTTCATTTTTTGTGGGCTACATAGTGACGCAAGTTTTGGGAGGAACGCTCGCTGACAAATTAGGGGGTACAGTAAATGATAAAAACCTATTACAAATTTGCAATGCATTTAATAAGAGAAATTAATGTTCGATTAAATTTTGTGCCAAGAATATTTTGATAGTAATGTTTTCCTAGCTTAGAAAATGCGTGTTGCAGTCAATATTAAATTGAATATGATTTGGGAGTGAAAAGAGAATATCATGCAGAGAAAGGATAGAATTAGGGTTCATATTTTTGCAAAATACTTGAATGCAATCAAATTTGATTACAGAATTCTGAGTTATGCGAAATCCAAAGTTACTAATTTTTTACTCATTAATATGATTTAAACGACTTTATTTTTTTTTATTGCGAAAGATCAAGATATATGTTAATTTTTATGTGAATAAAGTACGATTAATATTTATAGTGATATTGTACCTCGTAAAAGATGATCTTATACCTAATGAAAATGAAAGATTTTTTCTTTTAAAATTTCTAACACAGTTCAGATTCTTAACCACTTCAACTTATTTATATTCATAAATAGGTGAATTCATTTCAATTAGTGTTTATGTACGAATTATTTTTCACTTGGTTTGTCCAGCTTCTATAATAAGAAAATGATTAGTAGAAGTTTAATTTTTTGGCAAATTTAATGAATATAAAATCTTAAATATATCTTTTTTTTTCCCAGAGTATATAGTAAAATAGAATAGTACGGAAACTCAATTAGGACGGACGTGCAGAAATCATGATAGGACGTACGGTTGTAAAAGACAAAATTCGTCAAACCAAAGTTACTTTTCCTACTATTTGTCCTTGCCCTAACACGAAAAAAGGACAATACTAGTGTTTGCCCTAACTTTAACCATTACTCTCGTACTGTATATCTGTCCAAATCTATATTGCCGTACAGTACTACTTTACTGAATACCTTTTTCCAAGAGGATTAATACATAATAATAATATCTATTAGCATATGCATTTATTACTTTCCTCATTTTGTCTTCTATGCTTTCTTTTCTTGCTTTCATTTACCCGATTTGAGCGTTTAGTAGATCTTTTTATTAGCTTCAAGTAAATTTACTGGTTTTTCGTTTTGATACTTAGATATGTAAAGGGTTGTTTTTCAGATTAATTATCATAATTGATATCAGCCATATGATTTGAAACTCCGTAAAAAAACTAGGATATTTCTTCGGTAATAAACAATATTAATACTATCTTTATATATTGAAGTGTATATTCATTAACCTTCATTATCTAGGTAGTCCTACCCCATATACAAAATGAAAATTTGCGTGATAAATGTAAGAAAACTCGTATTCTGATTAATTGCCTAATATTTGTTATCCAAGTTTTCTTTGGTAACGAAAAAGAAAATTGTTATATTTAAGTAAATACTTAGAATAATAATAATAATTTTCTTTTTCGTTATCCAAGTAAAATTGAACAGCGAATATTTAATTACTAAGCATCATCGAATTATCATAAAATTCTTTCGATAATATAATAGCAATTAATCGGAGTATAGCGGAATGCGGAGAGTTTTGGGGAGGTCCGCTGTACATTTGTGTAAAAAGGATAGCTCAATTAATTGATTGGTAGTTTTTGTGTGGCGATATTCCTTTTATTGGTAACGTAAGAGCGAAAATTTATGTCATTAAATAAATTTATAAATTGCTTTTATTTATACATTACAATATACCGACAAATGGGCGATATATTTAGCAAGCACTCCATTGCAAGGGATTATCTTAATAACAATTGGATTGATGTATGATGTTTATATATGTATAAGAAAATATGACGAGTAAAATTTTTCGTTTCGTTTTGCATTAAAAT